TTCCAATAGTCTAATATTGTGTGGATTCTGATTTCTGCAAGCAAATTGGTTTGATGTTGTTAATATGTCCAGTGGTACCCTTGTTTGGGCTGTAACTGAAAACCACACAGCATAAGCATTTCTGCTTAGTATGTATTATGATTGGTGGAATTTTTTTGCATGTTAGTTGATAGTTGTGTACATGTCCTGGGACAGGGATTTTGGCGTGACTGCATGAATGAGTTAACACTATCGTGCTTAGAAATTTGAATGATTGGGAAAGGTTTTTTGAAAGACCACATTTATTTTAACAGCTGATGGCCTTGTTTGATTTTTTATTTGCAAAATCACTGTTAAATTTTTTGTAATCATAAGAGTCCAACACTGCATTCAATATGTGACGTGGCTACACTTTGATCTTGAAGCAGCAGAAGTGAATGAATTCGATGAATGGCAAATTTGGTTCAGTAGGCTTGCACCTGGTCCCATAAGTTGCTTTGTTGCAAAATTGGTCTTCAGCCCTGTCAAAATCAATGGGACTGTCTTGTTCGTTGTCTGTCACTCGTTGGTTTGAAAATAAGAAAATTGCAAATTTAGTTCTGCAGGATTGATCGTGTTGGAAATTTGGTTCTAACTATTGCAAAAATAGTCTTTTACGTTTCCTGCATTGCAATTTTGATCCCGTCGTAAGTATATAACGAACTTAGTAAAAGTTAAGTTTTAAGAAAAAAAAACACCAAATTTTGTGTAGTAAATATACACGTAATAATGCAAAAATTAAAAGAATCGTAAATAATGGTAAAGATTCCTAAAACGTTATTTCACCACGGTGCATCATCCTTTTATGTGTATAACAAACTTTGATATTAACATGTTAGTTTTGAGACGAAGAAAAAAAAAAACGACTTATAGTTTGGGTACACCTTTACATTTACACGCGAAAATGCAAAAATTGAAAAACTTGTAAAATATTTACTAAAGTCCCTAAAAACTTCTTGTACAGTACGATGCACCACCATGTTATGTATATAACAAACTTTGATAGTAAAGAATAGTTTTTAAATAAATAAATAAACGACCAAAAAGTTTTTGTAAATTTACACGTGAAAATGCAAAATATAAAAACTTGTAAATAATGGTAATAATGCCCCCAAAAGTAGCATTACACCACCATTTTATGTAAATGATAAACTTTGAAACGAAAAATAAAACGACAAAGCTTGTATTGTAGCACACATGAAATACAAATATTTAAAAACTCATAAAAGATGATAAAAGAAACTTAAAAAATTGTCTATCACACCATTTTATTTTTTAATATAATGAAAAATATATATTTACATGGGTTCCAGTAAAAATGATGCACAGTGAAAGAAATAAGAATACATCTTAATCATATAAATATGATGATCCAACGATTAAAAAAAATTACATTTTTTTTTTTTTTTTTTTNCATTAAACGACAGATTTCATTAAACTTCAAAACACAGAACTAATTACAATGTTATGAATTATCGGTGACCCACTGATCACAGGCCCAAGGCCCTACTTCTTACTTCCTGACAGGAAAATTTACAAGCCATTCATGGTTAACCCCCAAATTAATAGCTTCCAAAGCTAGCTGCTTACAACTATAACTATCAGAAGAAGAAACAAAAACAAATGACCAATTACAAAATAAAGCAAGCAATGAAAAGATGTCTTCAGTAATGGCATGGAGTTGTCCGCCAACGCTACAACCAGAACTAAACTCTCCCACCATTTCTTCATCATCAATTCTTACTTCAATACATATCCAATTCAGCAAAAAGGCCTTCCAAACAGCATGTCTAATCCCCAGCAGAAGAGCTTCCTTAGGATCACTACAATTGCTTGACAGCACCTTCCAGCATCTACATATTTTGCCCCCCTCACCAACCGCAATTCCTCCTAGGCCACACTCTTGATTAATGTTCACTGCCGCACTGACAAATATTGCTATCTGCCCTACGTTTACTTCTTGACCATGTATCCTCTCTCCCTTTCCCCTTCTGATTAACACTTCCTCGTTGAATTCCCGCCATTCCTTGTTTGCCCTTGAAGCTATTTCCCATTCCGGCATTCTTTTCTTTTCAAAAATCCAAGAATTTCGCGTCTTCCACAGCCACCACAATAAATATACCGTTAATTCCATCCTATCTTCCCAGCATTCACCTGAACGAACATTACATATCTCTGCCCACCAGGACTTAAATTGAGTTCTCATAATTTTCTGTTTATCCCAGTACACTCCAGCTATTTTCCAAACATTCTCAGCCCTCTCACAATAAAAAAGGATATGCATAATTGTTTCATTTTGTTATGCACACATACAACAAACAGGTTGAGCAATAATACCTCGGCAAAATAGTTTCTCAGCTACAGGGAGTGAATTGTGGATACATCTCCATAAAAAAATTTTGTGCTTTGCTTTTATTTGGAGTTTCCAGGTTCTATCCCACATATTGATTGAGAATTTTGCTCCATTGCTGGATTCCGGCGTGCCTTTGTCCTGTTGCTTTTTGAACAAGAGAGCTTTATAACATGATTTAACTGAAAATTTCCCTTTGTTGTCCCAATGCCACACAAATCTGTCTTTGCTTTCCGTAATATCCAGTTGGATCTTGAGAATTTCCTCTGCTTCTTTAGCTGAGAATAAATTCAAAATTAGGTTTTTATTCCAAGCTCTATCATTGCTCAATAACAGATCCCTAACCCAAACAACATCCCCTCTCCCACCCCTATCATTTCCCCAACCACCCACATCAGTGGGCCCCATCCCCACCCACACCCCACTAGTCTCGTCCAGCTGTCTCCCTCACTTGACCCTCTCTCTCTCTCTCTCACTCACTCACTCTCTCTCTCTCTCTCTCTCTCTCTCTCTCTCTCTCATACACACACACACACAGACACACACACACACACACATCCCACGACTAATAGACGTGCACACGTACGCGCACGGACCCACACAGCTCGCTCAGCCACTCGCCTTCGACCGCCAAGTTGTTATTGTGACTATCTGCCTTCTTGCTCTTTACAAGCATATCGTCCTCGTATACTCTTATGTTCCGTCCGACCTGGTCCTTGAACAGTCTGTCTACTAGCTGCTAGTAGGTCGCCCCAACATTTTTTAGTCCAAAGGGTATCACAACATAGCAATAAGTGCTCCTGAACGTGACAAAGTTCACCCTCTTTTGGTCGTCGGCAGCCAAGGGTATCTCATGGTATTTTTGAGAAGCATCCATCATACTGAGTAACTCGCATCTCACCGTAGAATCAACGAACCGATCTATCCGGTGTAACGGGTGTGGTCCTTAGGGGAGGCCTTATTCAAGTCTCTGAAAATCAATACACATCGTCTTCATCGACTTTTTAACCTCGGCCTTGATCACTAGGTCAAGCTCCGCGCCAAAATGCCTTTTTCTTTTGCTTCACCAACTTCATCATCGGTCTATATTTAGCATGTGCTTGGCCAATCAGGTCGTCGGCGGAAAATGCGAAAATGTCTGAGTACTCCCTCAACATAGTGATGAAGGTTGCTTGAATGTCCTCCCGGAGATGGCGGCCCACCTTGGTCCCCTTCCCAGCTTCCCCTTCAATGAGCTTAATCTCCATGAGCTCGTCCTGGGATGAGATCTCAAGCATTTTATATTCATTTTCTCTGTTAGAGCTTTCAGGTTGGTCAGCTTCCCGATTTCTCTTCTTTCTTTGTGCAACGTCTCTTGAGGCGGGCGGGGGGCCTGTCCCCAATACTCATGATGTACATGCCTTCCAGCTCATTAGTCAATTTTTTTCTTAGAACTATTGGTTGCCATGATCTTCAAACCTCTTGAAAACTTGTGAGAAAAACCGATTAGTCCCTTATAGCTTGTAAAAAGACTAGAGGTTTTCTAAAGACGGCGCCAATTTGATATGAAGATTGCCTTGAACCGAATCACCACGAAAGATCGTTGGCTTCGATCTCCAGTGACCTACACAACATCGGGGAGAGGTCCCAGCGAAAAACCTCTGATGCTCATGTCAGTCTTTGCTCATGAGATAAAACGGTGTTGTATATGCTTATGTATGCGCATTTGCGAGATATGTAAAACAATAAATTGGTTACCCTAATATAGTAGCGTGTCTTGATGCCCAAGAGAGTTTTAGCTATAAAAGAGATCCTCCTGTATCCACTTGTCTACTTACCACGTCTTTAGGATCTGAGACTCCACAGTTTCCATCTATAAAGAATTTTCTCCCCTCTTACCTCAGGACTCTTAGGTCATGAGGTCGTAAGCACGACCACACTAAGTTGTTCCTAGATCGTCACCACGACCTCCACCTCTACGATCTACAGGTCAGACCCCCTTGAGTATCTGAGCTCCTAAGGTTCTCCGACATCCTAGCGCTCTAACCGGGCCAACTTGTACATTGAGTTGTCTAAGCTAGCTCCTTGACTCGAGGCTCGTGTTAGTGAGAACAAGTCGGCTTCCTGGAACAGGACGAACCCGCGCTAACCACTCAGGTTGGCTCCCCAGCTATTCTGGGTGCTATATCAGACCCGATCGAGTCAACTTTGTTTGACCCGACCATTAAATATTTTCTTTTTTTTTTTACTTTTAAAAATAAAATTATGCATATATATATTTATGTGATAAATATATATATGATGAAATATAATATTGTTAATACTTTAGGGTACAAAATTTACAAATATATAGTTTATTATATACTGTATTGTTATATAAGGTGAAAAAAATATAAATATATATTAAAATTTTATAAAATTAATTACTCGGTTAAAAAATGAACCCGATGTTTCGGAGTCTAGCCCTAGTCAATCACGGTATCACCGGTCTGAATTTTAATTTATCTATATAAAAAAGTATAATATATAGGGTATATTTATTTTAAAAAAGTAGAATTGAAATTTGGACGTTAAAAAAAATAACCTTTTCAAAATGACCACTCAACTTTTGACAGCTCGTGGTCGTGGTAGCTCATTACAGAAACTCAACAAGGGAAGATCGGACGCTGACTCTATTTCTCTGCCAATATTTCTTATTTTTTGTACTTCACTCTTTAGACATCTCAACTCAACAGTGCTTAGTTCACCCTCCCCTATCTCTCTCTCTCTCTAAAACCCTCAAAGAATCCCGCTTCTACTATTCCAGAAGGCTCCAATTCAGGTGCTTTTCTTATTTCATTTGTCTGAATGATATGTAGGGCACGGTTTTAGGGTTTTTTCTTCACAAGAAAAGAAGTGTTTTTTCCCCTTTAACCTTAATTAAGCCTGCTAAATGTTTAAATTCATATTAGGGTTTCATCTTCACTGCGTCTGAGTTTAGTTCTCCCATTTTTCTTTGATTAATTCTGAAATCTTGATCCAGAAATCCTGATTATGGAAGATGAGCTGGGTCAAGGTAATGGTAGTGGGGTCTCGCAATCTCCCATGAGTGAGAATTTACAGAGTGAGGCCCTGGTTGAGAAAACGGGCAGTGAGAATCTGGCGGAGGAGACTAATTACGAAGAGGGAAATGAGGATGAGGAAATAATGGTTGAGATTGTGGGTTCTGATGTGTTTGTTGATGGGGTCGGTGGGAACAAAGAAGGTGATCTTGAAATTGGGGGTATGGAAGAGAAAAATGAACACAAGTCGGCAGATATTCTCGAGGCTAAGGATGTCTCTGGTGAAGGGGGTGAAAAAGAGGCAGAGAAAAGTGGATCAGGTGATAATAAAAAGAATTTAGTTGTTACGGGCAAAAATAAGATGGGGAAAATTGAAATGGGGTTGCCGGGGTCAGAGGATGGACAAAGTGACGTGCTTACGGGTGAAAATAAGATGGGCGAAAATGAAGTTGTTGCTGAGGCTATGAATGTTTCGACTGAAGAGGTTGGAGATTTGAAGGTGGAAAGTGATTCGAGGGATGAAAATAAACTTGTGGTTACTGAGGCTATGGATGTCTCGAGTGAAGGGGGTGGAGATAAGAAAGTTGAAAGTGATTTGAAGTTACCTGAGTCGAGGGACGAAAAAAATTATGTGGTTACTGAGGCTATGGATGTCTCGAGTGAAGGGGGTGGAGATCAGAAGGTGAAAAGTGATTCTAGGGATGAAAAAAATCACGTGGTTCCTGAGGCTATGGACGTTTTGAGTGAAGGAGGTGTAGATAAGAAAGTTGAAATTGATTTGAAGTTACCTGAGTCGAGGAATAAAAAAAATCATGTGGTTACCAAGGATATGGATTTCTCGAGTGAAGTGGGTGGAGATAAGAAGGTGGAAAGTGATTTGAAATTGCCTGAGTCGAGGGATGAAAAAAATCACGTGGTTACTGAGGCTATGGAAGTTTCGAGTGAAGTGGGTGAAGATAAGAAGGTGGAAATTGATTTGAAGTTACCTGAGTCGAGGGATGAAAAAAATCATGTGGCGACTGAGGGTATGGACGTTTCGAGTGAAGGGGGTGAAGATAAGAAGGTGAAAAGTGATTCGAAGTTACCCGAGTTGAGGGACGAAAAAAATCATGTGGTTACTGAGGATATGACCGTTTCGAGTGAAGCGTGTGAAGATAGGAAGGTAGAAAGTGATTTAAAGTTACCTGAGTCGAGGGATGAAAAAAATCATGTGGTTACTGAGTCTATGGATGTTTCGAGTGAAGGGAGTGTAGATAAGAAGGTGGAAAGTGATTTGAAGTTACCTGAGTCGAGGGATGAAAAAAATCATGTGGCTACTGAGGCTATCGATGCTTCTAGTGAAGGGGATGCAAACAGAAAGGAAGAAAGTGAGTTGGGGCTGTCTAACTCTGGGGATGAGGAAAGTTTGGTTGTTAAGGAGGTTTGTAGTGAAGGAGATGACAATAAGGAAGGGAAAAGTGAATTGGCGAATGAAAAAGATACTGTTTTTAAACAAGCTGTAGACTGCAGGTCTGGTGAACCCAAAAATGTTGAGGCAGGGTTTTCGTCTGTGCCGACTCAAGAAGATATAGTGACGAATCGATTGGTGATTAGTGAGAACAAGACAGTTGGAGATGAAACAGTTGATGAAAAACATGGGAAAGACGATGTATCATCGTTAAGTGGTGATGCTTCTAATCAAGATCAGCCCGTCTTGAATTCCGATTTGTCCCTTGTGGCAAGTGAAAAAACAGACGACAGCCAAATTGTACGTCCGGACAACATTTTCAACACTTATGGCGAAGATCCCAAAAATGTTCAGGTTGATGCTCAAAACAAGCAGACCGAAATTGTTGATGAAAAAGAAGGTTTGGCTGCAGAAAGCAAGGGTTTGGTTGTAAAATCAGATGGTTCTTTAGGCTCAGATGATCCGAATGTGAATGAAGATTCCGTTCACGGAATGAAATCGGATCCCAATCATGAAAATGAGAGCGAGGAAGCTGCTACTGGGGAGGATTTTGACGTGGTACTGGATTTCAACGATTGTACACCAGATACTAATCCGGATTTAAGTTTAGCCATTGATGGTGACTGTTTGAAGAGTGATGGAGGTTTAGTATCAAATACGGATCATCCAGACCATTTTGTCTCAAATGAACAAACTCAACCGGCTGATGAGATTGATACTGATATGGAAAATCAGCCAAAAAAACTTGAAGGTTCCGATGGTGGTGAATTGTGCGAAAACACTGATGAAAAAATTGTACCAGAAGAGTCGAAGCAGACTTTAGACTGTGAAGAAAATGGCGGTGGAATGCCAAACCCTGTAGAACAAAGTGGGTTACCACAAAGTAAGCAACATGAAAAAGTTGAAAAGTTGAAAATACCCGACATTAGCGATAAAATCGAGCCGGTAGATGAGAAAAACAAATCTGGTGGAGATCCTCATGACAAAATGGATATTGATTCAGAATATATAGACGAACAACTTCCTTCCGAGCCCGATAAGAGGTTGAGAACTCCCAAAATGAAGCAGGCCCGTTATTTCTCACCTCCCGAAAATGAGGCCCATCATTTCGCCATATCCGATTTAGTCTGGGGTAAAGTCCGAAACCATCCATGGTGGCCCGGGCAGATATTCGACCCTTCCGAAGCTTCCGAAAAGGCCGTCAAACACTTCAAAAAAGACACTCACCTGGTCGCTTTTTTTGGAGACCAAACATTCGCTTGGAACGAAGCATCTCTGTTGAAGCCTTTTAGGCCCTTCTTTTCGCAGATCGAGAAGCAGTTCAATTCAGCAGGATTTCAGCACGCAGTTACTTGCGCATTGGAAGAGGTCTCGAGACGAGTGGAGCTTGGTTTGTCCTGTTCGTGCATTCCAAGAGATAAATACGCAATAATCGAGACTCAAACTGTGGAGAACACAGGCATTCGCGAAGAGTCGAGCAAAAGGCAAAGCTTGGACCTTTCTAGCCGGGTTTCTTGTTTCGAGCCCGACGAGCTTTTCGAGTATGTCAAAAATCTCGCTCCCCACGCATCTTTTGGAGCTGACCGTTTGGATCTAACAATCGCCCAATCTCAGTTGTCGTCGTTTTACCGTTTCAAAGGGTACCGTTCGCCGACAGTCTTCCCTTCTTCACCTGGGGATTTGCTCGAGGCTGAGCCTGAGAAATTAACCAGTGATTTAACGATTATTACTTATCAAAAACGGAAGCACAGTCCTAAAGACAGTTCGAATTCTGCCAACAACGAGGATGAGTCGACTTGTAAAAAACAGAAAGCGTTGCTCGACCCGTTAACCGACGTGTATGATAAACGAGTGAGTGTTTATGCAGAAAAAGTTTCTACTCAGACGAGCCAAATCCCGAATAAGCCCTCGTTCAAGATTGGGGAGTGTATCCGTAGGGTGGCCACCCAGCTGAGGGACGAAACGGTAATTGACGAGCACCACCAAGAGAAGCGAAGCACCGGAGGAGTTCTCTCTGTAGAATCTTTTTCAGTCGATGAAATGCTTACACAGCTCGAGCGTGTAGCTCGAGAGCCTAAGAAGAGGCACGATTTCGTAAGTGTAGTCCACACATTCTTCATGGGCTTTAGGAATGCAGTCGTTCAGAACAGGCGGGCCCGGAAGAAACGGGCCGCGGAGCAGGCTGTTGTGGTGGGCGCTGCTGCGGAGGAGTACGAGTTCGATGATATCAACGACTCGTATTGGACTGATAGGGTCGTGCAGAACTATTCTGACGAGCAGAATCAACATTTGAATAATAATAACTGTGGTGTGAATGGGCTGGGGAGTGTTCAAAAACAGGCGAAAATGGGCCGTAGGCCGAGAAAGAGATTTTCGTACACTGCAATTGCAGACAGTGAACGAGAAGATCGAGTTAAACGGGCAAAGCAAGAGTCTTCACCGGCCGAGCTTATTTTGAAATTTGTGCAGAGGAATAATATACCTTCGGAGATTAATTTGAATAAAATGTTTAGGCGGTTTGGGCCGTTGATGGAGTCTGAGACTGAGGTTGACCATGAAAATGGATGTGCTAAAGTGATTTTTAAGAGGGGTTGTGATGCGGAAGTTGCTCGTGATAGTTCGGAGAGGTTCAATATTTTTGGAGCGGGTCTTGTTAATTACCAGATTGGATATGAGCCGTTGATCTCGGTTAAGGTTTTGCCGCTTGTGGTGCCTCCGCCGGCTCCTCCAATGGAAGATGTGACTTTCATGCAATAACTTTGGAGTACGGTAATTTGATTATTTGTGCTTATTTATTCATGGAGATCTATTTTGCAGAAACACCGAGAATGATTTATCTTATTTTCTTTGTTTTTTTCTTTACTGAATTTATGTTTTTGAAAGTTACCACCACAATTTGAAATGTTGTGCTACTTTTGAGGGTCTTAGGTTGTGTTTGGTAAAACCAGCTGATATAGTTGATAGCTAAGCAATTTTCGAGCTTATAGCTGAAAAGTTAGCTTATATGATGAAAGTGTTGCGTAAAATTAGCTTATAAGCTAACTGAAATAAAAATGTCACCAAACTTATTTAAAAATCTACCTAAACAAGCTTATGAGATAAACTCGAGCTTTTTAAAAAACTCGCCCTACAGAGCGAAAACAGAAAGATTATAAGCTAGCTTATTTGTGTACCAAACATAGCCTTATCTATTTCACAGAAACTAAGTATATTTTAGCAAATCAATGATTAACTCCTTGACATATGTTTTTCATCTTACAAGGCGGGTACCTATTGATGGAAGCATTTGTAAGACAAAACACAAATGTATCTGCGAGAAAACATCAATGTTGTTGAGGGATATTCCTTTAATAATTGTAAATATGGTTATTCTAAGAAGTTTGGTTATATCGGATGCTAATTAAAATACATTTTCTTAATTTGTCCGAGAATGAAAGATGAGACTAGCTGTTATCCGATATAAGATATTGATTATATCGTTTGTTTATGGTAAATGTGCATCGATTAACATCAGTCTCATGTCCACCTGATTTCTGTAATTCTGCTGTTATCCTTGTTTATTTGATATGCAAGTGAAATTCGATAATGCTAGAACCTCATCTTTTTTTTATATATATATATATATATTCACAGGTGTCCTTTAACTGCGTTTGCACTGTAAAAACTATTGATCCTTACTGTATTTCCGGTCATAAAAGTGGTGCAAATTCCTAGCAACAGCAGCAGGAGGAAGTTTATGTGCACGGTGTTCTTGTGGTGATTAGTTCTATCAAATTGTTGTTGCCTGGTGATTTGTTTTCAAGGATGAAGTCTTCTGATGTGTATTTATAGCTCTTATAATTATTAATTTCTCGGGGAGATCAGAGATGTTTTTGCACATGTACCATTTTGATTCGGGTATGACTACAAGAACTGAACTTACCATTGAGGGTTGTATGATGTGTATTTCTAGAGCTCTTGCATCATTTCTCGGGGAGATGTNCATATATATATATATATATATTATTTCATTATATGTAATAGTTTAATATATGATTTATATGCGCATTCAACCTTTTATAAAATAGTTGTCATTTTATAGTTTTGGTATAAAATTAAGAAAGAGGAAATTACTCCACGCACCAACTTGTTCATAAAATATTACACATCTACTAAAAAAATATTTTATTTGCAAAAAGGCATCTGCTAGCCAAAATATTTGTAAAGATACGAGATTTATACGCATCAATCCTTTTCCCACTTACGACAAATAATTCTCTCCACCTTTTTTGATCCTTATTTTTTTATTCTCAGATAATCATGAGTTTCCATTTCTTCTAAAAAATCTTCTCCTTTTTCTAATTTCTCCTTGTTCGTCTGTAATTTATCCCTCAAGAAGACAACAATTGGTGGACGTTGTTTGTGACCGATAGAGAGTAGTGGGCGGTTGCAACTCCGGGCATCAGCGATGGAGGCGGCGGATTACTTGTGCGGGGCGCCCAGTCCTCGAACTCCCATCGCTTGTGGATCTTGCACCGGCGACGGGCACATCTCGCAGTGATGAGACCTCGAATTGATTGCTCGTCCAACGGCGAATCGTTTAATTTTGATTTTTTTTATGCGGGAGTTCAATTAGGGCTTGAGTAATGTGGATTAATTGGGAATTTTTCCGCGCAGATGAAGATGAATAAGAAATTTGAGGCTTGAGTAATGTGGATTAATTTCAACGCCTGGATCTGAAATTATTTCCAGTATATGTTTGGTATATGTTCGGTATACATATATAAACCCAAAAAATTGGAGTTATTTCGGTATATGTTCGGTATATGTTCGGTATACATATATGGGGAGAGTTCGATTGAAACGGGTTACGGAGGCCGAAACGGGTTTGTCAAAGGTCTCGTCTATGGGGAGAGTTCGATCGATGAGAGGCCGCGCGAATCCACCGGGGATAGAGGAAAAGACGGCGGAGAAATTCTTTTCTCTATTACACAATCTAGCATCTATATAATTTTTTCTCTCTCTTGTGTGATGAAGGGTTGTGGAAAGACTGACGGATAAATTCTTTTATCCAAAGGGTTGTGGAAAATCTTTTCTCTCTCTTCTATCTGTTACACAGTCTTGCATCAATATAATTTTTTATGGTCAAGTAGGTATGTTTGTAAATAAATTTTGTAGTTAGTATTTTTACAAATATTTATGAAACACTAAGGTAAGTATGTAAATGAGCCGAAAGAAAATAAAAATTTAACATATTCAATATTATTAATAAACTAGCGTGCAGCTTGACAGCTCTAACTGGAGTTGGGATCGGTTCAGGTGGGTGCATTGAATAGGGTGAAAACAGATCCGTCAAAACATCTTGACTTGGTTGACATAGGCATCGACCCGGCTGAGTCAACCTGGTTTGACTCGATCATTAAAATTTTTTTGGTTTTGGGAAATATTTTTTTTTTATTTTAAAGATAAAAGCTATGCATATACATTTATGATTAACATTTATTATGAGATATAATATTCATTAAGACTTTGATACACAAAATTTATATTAACATTTATTATGAGATATAATATTCATTAAGACTTTGATACACAAAATTTATATCGAACACATTTATTTTTTTTATTTTAATGTATAAATAATTATTTATGTATAAAAATATTATAATTAAAAAATTTTAAAATTATCCTATTCATCAATTATTGGATTGACTACGTTTTGCAGCCGAAGCTCTAGCTCTCATCTTTAGACTACGTTTTGCTCATGATTCGGGTATTTCAATTTAATATGCTAAAACGGATGCCCTGACAGTTATTTGTGGGTTGTCTGAGATCTCGCCAAATGACAACTTGCATCAAGTTTTTGTGGACATTTTATCGCTTTTGTCAAATCTTAATTGTGAATCTTGTAGTCATATAGATAGGAATCATAATTTTGTTGACCATTATCTAGCTAATCGGGCTTTCTCGGCGACGGGACCCTTTATATGGAAGGATTGTCTCCCGTGTTTTCTATCTTCTAATTTTTGTAATGGTCGAAGACCGAATCTCCGTTGATTGTAATTGATATTGTGATTTCAAAAAAAAAAAAATAAATAAATAAAATATAAATAAATATTGGATTGACCCGGAGGCCTATTCGGTTTGATTCCCGGGTTTATAAACCATGATAGATGGTAATAAACTAAACTAGTCTCCTTCCTCGCCTCTCCGTCGTCCGATTGCTCGTCTCTCCCCTCAGATTTCTCCAATCTTCATCACCCAATCCTCTCCCTCTCTCTCTCTCTCTCTCTGAGCGCGCCAAATACAAATCCAAGGTACCCGTTTTTCTCACAGACACACACGCAGTTTTCTCCGTATATATATGATCATGTATTCCCATGGCATCAAATGGATATCTGAGTTTTCGTCAATGTTCATTATATGTTACTTATTTCTTAATTTTGTCGCGTCGAACGTTAAATTTTTAATGGCCAGACCTTTTATGTTTTTTTTTTTTTTTTT